ATTTGAGGTAAGTGAAGAGAAACGTCTGACATTAATTCCCTGTTTGTAAGTGTAACTTTGACAAAACACCTTATCACTTCGAACTTGGACTACGGAATGTTACAATTAAGATTAAGAAAACTAAATAATTGTTGAGGACTTCTGAATATGTGTATCAGCAAAATTATAGTGACTTTCACTACAAAGTAGTGGAAAAGATTCCCTCACTACCTAATGTTCAGTATACATATGATGCAGTAAAAGCGTGTAGACTCTGTGAAATAACCACGAATGGAGAGGAAGCAACATGAATAATTATCAAGATAACTACACACTTACTCCAGTTTTGAAGTAGTGTCTAACTGAATGGAGTTAACGCGTAGATGCAAACTATCGTTAAGTTCGTGGATCTACCCTTAAAAAAGGCATCCAATAGGAGTGGAAAATGTAGTGCTTTTACTGGGATTCCACTGCGTTTTCTCTTAATATACATCGTCTTACCTACTCATTAGTTAAACAATTTAATCTTCATAGCTTAATCTAACACAGGCTTCATAAAGTGACGAAGTAAACTTAAATGGTTCTATACAACACATATTATGTCATAAGTTTATCTTTAAATCACAATAAACCATGAACTATAATCTTTACCAGTTAGCAATAGATTCACAATAAAGAAATCAGCATTCAAACAATGATTGGGATATATTTTTAAAAAGAAAGACTTCAGTAAAAAAAAGAACTGAACATATATCAAGAAAAAAGGTCAGATGGTATTATTTATTACTGTAACAATTTCGGGTACATTTAAATACTAATGAAATAGAGAACAGGAGAAAAACAAGCGTGTTACTTGAACTCCTGAGGTCACATCCTATGTATCGTAGTGAGATTTGTATATCACATATTGGCTACAGTTTAGTTACCTAACTTTTCACACATCACATCAACATTTTTTTTAAAATATTGCAATCATATTTGTCATAATATTTTAAAACAGGGCATATGATCCATATAGACCGGCAATGGAAAACACCGGAGTTGTTACAGTCAATAGGACTGGAGCAAATAAACAGCATTATCCAGAAACAGAAGACTTAATGCCACTTCCTAAATCATACCGTATTGAATCAATAATTCACCTCCCTGGTACAACAAAAGAAGCTAGTATGCCAGATATTTCTGTAATTCGTAGTCATGCAACTGGTCAGTATGATAGTCCATCAAGACGTAGAGCTGTTCAACATCCTGTTTCCGGAGAACTTACTCGTGAAGAAGTTGCACGTTTAAGTCAGGCCAGAAGACAAGAATTATATCATGAAATGGAAAGACGAAAACGAGGTGAAATTGTAATCCGTCTAGCTGATATTAAGGTAAGAATTCTTATGCATATATGATAAAATGTAAATTATATATCAGTGCACGCTTGTGGACTGTATTTTTGAAGAATGGTTTGAACTGAAAGTATCTCATTGCTTACACCTAATACTTTAGGTAATGTGATGTGAACATGAGATAAATTGGCATGACTTCAATTGCCAGTTACAAATAATTTGATAGAGTTGTTTGACGTTAACTTATTTGTTGTAAATTAACGATAGAAGATAGGGAATTGGTAACGGATATTTTTATTACGGAAAAGCACATCGTATTTATACATTTTTAACCACATTAAAAGTCGGCTAGTCCAGTGGACAACAAACTGTTCTGATTGTTTGATGACTGATCCAAGGTTAGACGTTGAGACAGAAGGTTATTTCATAGCCACAGCATAAACTAGATCCAGATTTGAGGAGTAAACACTTCTACCTCTGCAGCCATTAACTTGAAATGTTCATTACAGTTTCTACTTCTTCCTTCCAACCTACTGATTAATCTTATCAGTAGCACATGCCACAGTAATAATGATGGTGTTTGAGTGTGTGAGATTGCAACAGAAGGAGATCCCAAAAAATAGAAACACACACATCTTGTGAGAATAAAATTTATTAGCAAGCGCTATCAGCCAAACAACTAACTCTAATATTAAAATGTGAAATTGGATTGTACAATTTAATTAGATGAATGACGCAAATACAGAATGTCGCAAAATATTCCTACAAAACTGTCTAGTAAATCCGTTGCTCATTATCGGAAAAACCAATTTGCAAACTAAGACTATTGTAAAGTTATTACTACCAGCTACGTATTATGCTGGTGATTTAGAAACTACTTCGCTACTACGGGGTGCCGCCAACAATTATACAACTCATCCAACAGTTGTACGACAATGCCAAGTAATCCACAACGGGAAACTCAGATAATCCTTTCAAGTGAAGATGGGGGTAAGACAAGGTTGGCTGCCTACTATGTCCAATGACTTTCCTGATTGCGGTAGACTGGACAATGCATCAGACAGCGGGCAGAGAGGAAACAGGCATAAAATGAACCCACACAAAAGACTTGGAGGATATGGACTTCGCCGATGATATATGTCTGATCTCCCACAAACTAGAAGATATGCAAGTGAAAAGCGACAAGTTGGCAGAACAAGCATCAAAGATAGGCCTTCAGGTGAACATAGTGAAAACAGAGGTGGTGACAATTCCTGGACTACAGCAACAGACAAAAATCAGCATAAGTGGGAGAAATCTGAAAGAAACAACATCCTTTACCCACCTGGGAAGCATCGTTTCAACTACAGGCGGACGGATTTGACGACGATATCAAAGCGAGGATAGGGAAAGTAAGGAAAGCTTTCATTACTCTCAAGTCTGTGTGGAGATCGACAACAGCACTCACCATGAAAATTAACATCCATACTTTCAACTACAATGTGAAGTCAGTGCTACTATACGCATCAGAGACTTAGACAGCGCGTCATGAAGGGCACACCTTCATCAACAGCTGTCTTCCCTCAATACTACTCAAGGTAAGATGACAGGCTAGAAAACATCAAACACTGGGATCTCTGGCAATGAACGAACCAACCAACCAACGAGGGTCCAATTGTGCAACGAATATGCAGGAAGAAATGCAGGTGGATGGGACTGGCCCTACTCTGAGGAAACCATCAAGTGACATCACTAGACAAGCTCGAATGGAAAGCGGCGAGTTGATCGTCCAAGGGTGACTTGGAGGAGGTCATGTGAAGAGGAGATGAAAACGTGTGGACAGACGTGGAGCCAGGTGAAAACTCTAGCAGAGAACCGAACGCAATGGAGACGCGCGGCTCAAGCCCTATGTTCCTATAGGAAATGAAGGAAATCATAACAGTAATACCGGTGGATGGCTTATTTCTACATCCATACCTTTTAAGATCCGCTGGCGTTCAAGAATGTGAACTACGCCTAAAGGCGTAAGCAAAGATTACATGGACTCAGCTTTCCGTAAAGTATTCACTTGAAGAAAAAATTTCACCGTGATTTTCCTTGGGGAGGGACTTAAATAATCTGCCGGTCACCACAAACAACTGCCTTTTTTTGTAAATGCAGTGCAGTATTTGGAAGCTTTTCATACCAGGAAAAAATGGTGCACACTAGACAGAGTGGGGCAGAAAGTCTCAACTAGCATGTTTTACGCCTGCAAATGGCTCTGAAATCCTATTAACCAGAAAACAGCTGCTGAACCGTTTTATCAAATGAATTTACTCTATTATGGAATTATCCTTTGCCAAGTTGCCAAAGTTCTTTCCTTATATCAATTAATGATTTTTATTTATTGCTCAATTTTTTGCACATCATTTTTATTCACAGGACTGGATTCGTGCTAATTTCGTCATCGTTTTCGTTCTACTGATCAACGCTAGCTTGGCATTTTTCTTTTTCAACTTGTTAACTGGAAATTCAGATCAGCCTAGTCAATCTGGTAGGCATACTCAAAATCTTGGTAGTTCACAACCGAGTGATTCAAATGTAGCTGCAGTCAAAACAATTAAAACAGCGAAGAAAGTTATTTCAGCAGCTATGAAAACTAAGCACCATGATGCAACTGGACAACAAAAACCATAACACAAACTAAAATATACACGTGAATCTCATACGAAATTATATAAAATACTAGTTTCGAAATTTACTGAAGAGCTATATTCTTCATGTTGCTTTAGTTTGTTACATTGATATTGATGTTTCCTTCCTCTTTTATCTGTGTAAGAAAAAGATTAGACCTGTGCTTCTTCACTTTCGGCACACTTTTTTGTTTTGTTACGTCTACGCATGAAATCGAGAATATATCATCAGATATGTTTTGCCGTGTACAGCTGAAACAATTAAATTACAAAGCTATGAGTAGTGATAACTGAGATGAATAATCCTCAAATGCTTTGTATAATAACATTTGTTTATTCTTAACCTTTTTCACTCCACCTCCCCTCCCACCAAACTAACTTCATCTAATGTTACCTCCCTCTTCCTCCTCCTATGAAGCGCAATTGTACACATATACAAAAGCCTGAAAAATTCAATTACACCTAATTATCGCCCACTTGTTGACCATGGATATTTCCTTGAAAACAAACAGCTAGCCTTCTCTCATTCTGTTTCTCTTTTCCAGTCTATCTTCAAGTAGGTGTTGCTAAATAATTCTTTTACTTGTTTGTTATTAGTGTCAATATGCTTTCATCGCCTATGTTTTTGTCTGTCAGAAGAGATTCAAGGTAAAGTAAATATTCCATCTTATCCAGTATATACTATAAAGTGAAATATTATTGACTCCCTCCCTTTCAAATCATACAGTCCTGCTCTAATTTATTCAATTTTCGTCTTTATCCTTTTTAGTTTCTCTTTTTTTTAAGAAAAATAATAATAATCGAATACAAAAGGTGAACTGAACAGTTATTATTTTTACCAACTAGTTAACTAAACAAACCAGTTACTAATATCCCATAAAAACACACAGACGACTATCATTCATTCCCTTCAAACAATAAAGAATACTAGCTGAATTTTTAGGCATTACGAAAATACTTTTTCCACTTTATCTGACTATTGAATTTCGATGTTTTATTCCCAAAAATTTCTGTAGGCATTCTGTTAACTAACCAGTCTGTTTTGTCTCTCTCTCTTTTTCTCTTTATCTATACTCTGTTTCCCCCCTTTTTTTCTCTATTTTTTTTCTCCTTCCTGTAATCTCACCGTTAAAGTGTCTGGACTTGCTCAAACTATAAAAATAAAACAAAACTGGTTCTCTGTGCTGTTGAAAAATAATAATAATAATAACAACAATAAAAGTCAGTTGATAGAAATAGTGTGAGGATATTTACTGACAAACATAACGACTACTTCTTATATGATTTAAGTGTATTTTTTAGTTAATTTATTTGTTTCCACCTAATTTCATCAAAAAGAGGTAATACGATTTGACGAAATAATGAAAATCAGGTATTTAATAGTTGTCGCTTTTTTTGTATTGGGAAAATATTTTCATTATAAGATTCTAGGAACTCAAGAGTTGAATGATGATGATGATTACACTTTGCAATGATGACAGAGTACAGAATATGCACACTAAAACATATTAGGCAGTCGCATCGAAAAATGGAATCGTTAACCGCTTTCTAAGATTCAGTTATGTATCATCTAATCATCCATCCACCCCGCCTAACAAAATATTCCTCAATGCACAGTTAAATGAAATGCATAAGCAGTGAAAGTTTTTGAGATCCTTGTTTAACTTTCTTCTTGACTTGACGGTAAGAAAATATACCGAAAACAGCACATAAGTAGATATTACTACTGCTTATTTTACAGATATCTTATCGGAAAACTTTCATTGTGACTTAGTGTAGCGGAAATCTGAGACAGTCAACTATCCAACTATTTTCATCACATCTTAACAATGAACATTATTAAAGCACTGACTCTTATTGAAAATGATGTCTCAGCATGTATGCTCGCACTAACTTTAGGCCCAAAGAGAGACACTGCGTTACCTGGCGACCTCCATCACCAAATCAACGCTGGACTCAGATAGACCACATAGCCATAGGGTATCGTTGGCGAGGGTCAGTAGAAGACTGTCGCTCCTTCTGGAACACGTGCGTAGACTCTGATCACGCTCTGGTTCGCGCACGTTTATGCTTACGACTAAACGGACATAAGAAATTGACGGCAGCGAAACAGGTACATCCCCAACTAGATCGAGACACTGAGTCCCTATTTAAGGAAGAAATAGCGAAACGAGTTTCTGAAGTCGACAGCAGGACTTCCCTCGAGGTAGCCTGGCACAACATACAGTCAGCTGTGCTCGGAACGTTATCAGTTGATATTACTGTACAATACTGTGTGATTTATCAAAATAAAATCTTATCCATAATGGAGTTATGCTCCACCACAGTGCCCAAGTTTTATATCAATGAAACAAGGCAAAGCAGCAGGACCTGATGGAATGACTCCAGAGGTATTTAAATACGGTGGAGACAGTTTACTGTCTGCATTAACTGAGGTACTAGGCAGCGTCTGGGAATCAGAGGAAGTCCCATCGGGTTGGTGTAAGTCACTGATTATCCCCATATACAAGAAGGGAGACAAGTCTTCCTGTGATAATCACAGAGGGATTAGCTTGACTAATATAGTATCTAAAGTCCTAGGCTCAATAATATTGCGTAGACTAAGTGGTGCTCGGGAGGCACAAACACGAGAGAACCAGGCAGGCTTTAGACCAGGAAGAGGGTGTATTGATCATATCTTCACCCTTCGACAGATTCTAGAACATAGGCATTCTACCGGCGTCCAACAATCATTATATTTCTTGACCTAAAGGCGGCATTCGATTCTGTCGACCGAGAGGTTCTCTGGCGATGCTTGGCTGTAAAGGGAATGCCGAGAAAATACATTGCACTGATCAAGGCACTCTACTCGAACTCATGCAGCCAGGTGAGGGCTTATGGCGAGTTGTCATCTGTCCGTCAGGGATGCCCATTATCCCCATTTCTATTCAACTTCATCATAGATGTACTAGTGGATTTAACCCTAACTCACTTCAGAGACTCAGGGATTGACTTGCTACCACTAGGGAATAATCTCGTTGACTTAGAATATGCAGACGATATAGTCCTTCTAGGCAAGGACGCTGACAAAATGCAGAGTCTTCTGAACACCTTGAGCTACAATCTACGAATTTTTGGCATGCGATTCGCTCCCGCCAAATGTAAGATGATGTTACAGGACTGGACTACACTGACTCCTAGTTTAGAAATAGGGAGTGAAGTGGTCGAGCACGTTGACCGCTTCACTTATTTGAGAAGTACCATCAGCCCCAACGGGTTGATCTCTGACCAAATCTCAGCACGAATACAGAGGGCTAGTTCCGCATATGCCAGTTTACGCCATCTCTGGCGTAGACGTGATATCTGGCTATCGACCAAAGGGCGGGTGTACTGCTCAGCAGTCCGCTCCGTCCTCCTTTATGGCTGTGAGTGAGACCTGGCCATTGAGAGTGAAAGACATGAAAAGATTAGCTGTCTTTGATCATAGGTGCCTGCGTTCTATCTCCCGTGTGAAGTGGTATAATAGGGTGAGCAGTATTGAGGTTAGGCGTCGAGTGCTAGGTAAGGAGGGGAAATCATTCGACGAGGTTGTGAAGTTGCATCTATTGAGATGGTTAGGACATGTGTTACGTATGCCTAGTCATCGCCTTCCTCGACGAGCAATGTTAGCTGACATAGGGTCAGGCTGGAAAAGAGCTAGCGGCGGTCAAACCAAAACATGGCACCAGTCAATGAAATCTACAACAGTTAGTTTAAGCCAGCTACGTAGGAAGGTGTAGACTTCCTGGTTGGGGTCCTCGGGACAGTAAAAACCAATGGTTGGAAACAATTGGTGATATGGCTCAAAATCGTTCTCAATAGCTGGCGCAGATGCATCCACTCCTTGTGACTTATGATTTCAAATGAAACTGTTTTGTTCTTCGTTACTACTATTCCTTTGTCTCACACCTCTGTTTACTGTCTCTATTTTGCATCTCTTCTCTTGCTTTGTGTGCTACATGGAGTGTGGCGACTTGAACTGCAGCACATAGGTGCAAAGTTCTATGTCGAAAACAGACAGAGAACAGAAATGTGTGCTCGCTGGAAAAAGAAATATCCCAATGTTATTTTTTTTTCCTATTTGATTAAATCTCCCTCCAACTACTTGATCAGAATGCTGTTACGAAAATTCAACTAGTGAACGTTTAAACAGTTTACAGAGGTGGAAAGACGGTGTAGTTTATGGGCTGTGTGTAATAAGTCCAATTTTCTTCAAAGGAGTAAAGTGCAATACACATATTTCAATATATATATGTATATATATATATATACGCTGGTGAAGAGGAAAGGTTGAGCATGAGGGTAGCAACCCCATCCTGTAAAATAAACACTGCTACAGAAACTTCAAGCCATTAGCTTGAAGTCCTATGTTCCACTGGGGAACGTGAAGGAAAAATATGTATATATATATGAATTACACAGCTTTATTTCATCTACAATTTAAGAGATTGTTCATCATTCAAACAGCTTGATACCTTTAAAAATATTCACAGTCGAAACAGTGAACATAAACTGAAACGCCTAAATAATTTAAATAAAGCTTTTTGTAGACCTACTTTTTTATTTAGTGATAACTATCAGTCACTGAAATTTTAATTTCTCAATCGACTTACTGAGCTTAACTAACCCTACTACTGTAGAAGTTGAATGCAGCAAAATCTCAGAAATTCGAAATTCACTTTATAATGCCACTGTAGTTCCAAACTATTTTCCTATTTCACATTCACATTTCATTACGATACGCATATACATGAGTGAACTAGCCAACAACTTTCGGAAAGTAGAGAATGGTAGTGAAAAAAGAAACTGAAATAAAGTCGACATTCAAAGAATAAGAGAACTAAATACAAACGTAGTAGTCACATTTTTAAGTCTACGGAGGGGAATGTAGGTAAAATCTTAACTGTGAACTCAATAAGGAATGAAGGTAGTAGGAAAAAAAAAGAGAAAGTCTAAAATGTGATAGAAATAAAAATAATTAATACCAAACAATAGTAACAAAAAAAAATTTTGCTATGCAGGAACATAATGGCAGTGGCATACTAAGCGAAGACGGTAGATCTCGCAAAAGCATTCTTTGTAGCCAAGCTGTATAAGTTCACACACCAATGAAGTGCATCCATGACTGATGAAGGCAGGTATAACCTCTATTGAGACAAAACACAATGAACATTGGGCAAGGCGTGTGCACTGATATCACTATTTGCAAATAATACCACTCGTTTCACGTAAGGAATGTTTCGTTCTTTTTTGAGCGTTGCTTATTAGGTTCTTCGAAGAATAGTAAGCCTTTTCTAGTTTCTTATTCAAAGACTTTCTCAATGACATAAATTATCACTGCTCCTTCAAAGATATTACTCTATATAGTGTGTATTTCTGTTTATGAGTAGCACACCATATAACGAGTACGACAGACGATAAACGTTCAAAGTGCATCTAAGTAGAAGTTCTTTTAACTTGCCTGTGGGGTATTCCAATATTCAAGTCGCTGTCTTCCAAGTTTTTGCATCAGAAACAAATCGTCACTTTAATCGCGGCCTTTGTGAAGAAAGATTCGACATCGAGTGATATCATGCGGTTGTAGTCCACTTTCACATCTTTGATACAGTCGATGAATTCAAACGTGTCTCGAAAAGAATATTTTGAAATTTGTTAGCCAACAGGCTGTAGCAGTTCTCCAAACTATTTTGCAGTTGGATGGTTTGGAGATACGGACATGTCCAAAGCAGGGAGCAACGGAAGTCCCTGTCTGTGAGTTTTTGGTAATCGATATAGTCGGGGTATTATCTAGCCAGTTGGTGGAATGCTCTCGTGGACCTTTTCAGAGATAAGTCGACCACTTTTTAGCTTTCTCAATATCCCAGTGAGTTGCATTTCTGTTTTGTCTTTCTCTTTGTCAGGTGCAGCGAACTTGTTGTTGTCCGAAAGAATTGCTAACATTTTATGAATATAGTCTTTTCTATCCATTAGGACTATGTCAGCATCTTTATCAGGGCGTGTGGTCAGCAATTCCTTGTTACGTCTCAGTTAGTTCAGCTGTTCTATGTCTAAATGCAATAATCTATTGACTAAAGAACACACAGAACAGCTGAATCAACTGAGACGTAACAAGGAATTGCTGACCACATTCAATGGTACTATTTATACGAAAATCTTTCAGATGTATGAAAAGCTTATAGACAACTTTCAAATTGTCAGTGGGGGAATCTCATCTAATCATCGGTATTATTCATTCCTTACGTTCCGAGTGGAACAAAGCCGTTCATTCCACCCCACCCCACCCACTAACAAATCACTAAAACTACAAATAGAATTCCCTGCAAGTTATTCACGGATGAAGTAGAAACAAAAAAGAGAGAACGCATTCCTTGGAGAAGATAATCTTTGTCATGAAATGCATCAAATTACTGTCTTTTAGGCATTCGGAAATGCTACACTTATTTATAATTAAAACAGACAACATGGGTCATTCTCAAAATGTTTAAGAAAAAGTCAACTGCTTTATTAAATAACAGCATAAAATTCTTTATTTTAAAAAGAGTATACAGTAGGATTTATATATACAGACTGATAAGCATATATCTTTTTTACACAGTATCAAACACGTTTGGATTTTCGTTCTGTAACAGTTTCCGCATCTCCACCTCTCTTTCGAACATTTAGTGGATTTCTAGGATCGTATAGATCATAACGATCAGGATGAGGCATAGTAGGATCGAGAACTTTTCTGGCCGGTGTTGGAACCTCTGATACTAGACGATTTTTCATCCTACAAATAATGAACGAAAAGATTTACACAAAGATGACTCCTGTCAATTTTAACTATCATTAAACTAAATTTTGTTGAGATACAATAGATACATCAGTATGAAATTAAGAAATAATCTAATTGTTGACCTCTCGAATACGTTTAATTCGTGAAAGACTGTCATCACATGGTTAAGAGACGCATGCCATAAAGTCAGACATTCACTATATACCTAATCCAAACAGTCAACACGCTGCTTTTTCCTCTTTTGTGTACTTTGTGTTCTGTTTGAACTGACGAGAATATCAAAGCGAGAATCGGGAAAGCAAGACAAGCTTTCACTACTCTCAAGTCTGTGTGGAGATCAACAGCACTCACCATGAAAATTAACATCCAGATTTTCAACTACAATGTGAAGTCAGTGCTACTACACAGATCAGAGACTTAGACAGCGCGTCACGAAGGGCACTTCAAACAGACTACACACATTCATCAACAGCTGTCTTCGCTCAATACTACTCAAGATAAGATGACAGGATAGAAAACATCAGACACAGGGATCTCTGGCAATGAACGAACCAACCAACCAACGAGGTCCAATTGTGCAACGAATATGCAGGAAGAAATGGAGGTGGATTGGATTGGCCATACTCTGAGAAAACAAACCATCAAGTGACATCCATCACACGCCAGGCCATCGCTCGAGTCGAACCCGACAGAATGGGAAGCGGTGAGTTGGTCGTCAGTGCGACGGTGACATGGAAGAGGTTATGTTAAAAGGAGATGGGGGCATGTGGGAAGACGTGGAGCCAGATGAAAATGTTGTCAGAGAACCGAACGCAATAGAGACGTTCGGCTGAAGCCCTATGTTCCTCTAGGAATTGAAGGAAACAATAATAATAATGTTCTGTTTGATTTTAGTCCATTTTTACCACTTATATCTCCATTGTGTCTATAAGCATGGTATGTGCTTTGCTCTGTCTAAGTGCAGGGTACTGTTGCATGATTGGCAGTAGCCTATACCTGCACTCACCCTTGCAAGTGAAACGCTTCAAGTTGTCCACAACTTCGTATATCTAAGTAGTTGTGTGGGTGCTGGCGGTGTGAGGGACGGAATTTCTAATCGTATGGTGAAAGCTAGGGTAGAATACGCCAATTTGGGCCATCTCTGGCGCCGTCAGAGGTCGAGTTTATAAGGCTTCGATGCAGAGTCTTGCTCTACGCCTGTAAAACTTGGCTTCTTCGAGGTGGGGATGTGCGGCAACTCTGTGCACTGACTCCGTAGAATTGCCTGCATCCTACGGCTTCATCGCGTAAGCAATTCTGAGGTCCGACAGCGTGCGTTTGGATATGACATCACTTACCAGTCATTGAGTGTAGTCATTTTGCTTTTCTGCATTTTGGATTTCTTCCTTCACTTATCCTATCCCTATTTTCGTTATATACTGTTGTTTTATTGTTGTGTGGAGCATCTTTTGATACCAACAATGCACCAAGTTTGTTTTGAATAAAATAAATAAATCTCCAATGCTGTTGCCAGTGCTAATTGTTATCCCAATCGTAAGAATGTCAGGTAATGTAAAGAAAAAAGAGAAATGCATTCTTTTTAGTTATGTGGTGATTGGCTATCACAACAATACCCACCTCGCAGCACAATGTCTGAAACATAACAAGTCACGGTGTATAACTGAAAGCGTCTACTGTTTCTGTAAAAAATGTCTACAAATAAATGAATGAAATATAACCTTCCTCATAAAGTAGGAAATCAATAGTCCATAGTCACCCTTAGACAATAGGAAGGCTGTTTTTGAAAAATAAGGCAAGGGAAGCAAATCAGGAAGTGAAAATAATAGTAAAAATGAATTATTACTACGTACGAATAAAAACACTAGTAACATATGGCTGACAAGACTATTCAGTTGTTCATTAATTATGACTAATCTATGATAGTTTGTGTTTGGTATGTGGACCTGTCGCTCATTGCTCTAGGCGCTTGACTTCCGACTAGTGGGTCATGGATTCGAATCCCGCTCCTCCAGCTACCAAGATTCATATAGACAAGTAATATCATTTGCCTTCACACAATAGGTGTGTCTCATTATCAAACTGCGTGGAACTGCAAATGATTGTTGAGTAACATTTGATTTCATGTGGTATGAACAGTTTTTGGAATAAAATTTATTATTATTATTGTTCTCTTGGGTTTTGAATGGAACATAGGGCTTCAACAGAACACCTCTGCTTTGTCCTATTCCCTGTGGTCCTCTTCAGCTGGCCCCACGACTGCCTATAGTCTCTCATCTTCTCCATGTCACCACCCTCGGACGCCCCACTGACTATTTCCTATCAGTGTTCCACTTGAAGGCCTGGTGCGCGCGATGTCATTTGACTGTCTCCTCAACGTCTCCAATCCATCTCCAAACTTGAAATCCAGTTTTACTGAAGAGGTTCAAGTCATGCACAAATAAAGGAATAGATATTCGATGTTCAAATTCCATTATCTAGGCTTTTGAGTACATGATGCGTATTTCATGTCTAATATATTTGACAAAAATCAATAAAGAAGGACAGATAGCCAAATAATAAATGACGAACTAAATGACACTGACTATTTTCAGCTAAGTGGCTTATGTATACCACACAATAAAAATCTCCACAATGAAATTATACAAAATGATTGTCTCAGAAAAGTTATATGCAAACGCTAAACATACCATTCATCCATATCTGAAAGTTTGCAGGTGTCATTATTATTCGATTCTTCTGAAGCTATAACAGCCCGAAGACGATTACCAAATCTTTCTAGTAATGATAAGGTAGCAGCTTCACGTTCAGAACCCTTTGAAGTAAACATGATATATATTTTTTTTGTTTAACTGAAAGTCAAGATTTTCATGAATATTTCAAAATAACAATGAATACATTAAACGGTAAAGTTCAACCATAGCGTCTCAGGAGTGCGAACTCATGAGTGACCTTCAGCCGACCAATCATAAAAATGAGGAATGTTTCCTCAAAAAACGATGTATATTGACAGCAAATGTTTGATAACGCATTAAACAGGTTATCTTTCTCTGACATGGCTTAAAAATACGTCCTAGTTGTAACGAGGAGTATCAGTTGCTAAGTTAGACTAGTTTCTGTTCATGTATTCACCGAGATGACTACAGATAAACTTTTTTTGTGAATCGTTTATTCCTCTTATCCTGCTTGTAGTCTTCCTAAAAAGCCCTCGGTTGAATTATTATGGTTTCCAGCAAGAGGATAGACGACTACTTACCAGGAAAGTGTAGATAATAAAAAACATTAAAATAAATGACATCAACTATAAATCTATCCCTAATCGTAACCATAAGCTTAATCCTGACCCTAACACTAAACCTAACCTTAATCCTAACCCTAACCCCAATACTTACCTTAACCCTAATCCTAACCCTAACGAGTTATTAACACATTGTCCAAACAGTACTTAAAAACGTGATCTGGGTGAAATTTGCTCCTAAGTTAGTGAATAGCGTTGATATTTCAGCTATGATAATGACGTATGCCGTTAGCCAACGACTAGCATGCGTTCAAGGTCATTGGAGGCGTTCACACTCCTGGGACGCTATTGTTGAACTTCGCCCATTAAACAATCACTTGTGAGTGATTATTTTTGGAATAAAGAAGTATTCTATGTCCAGTAAAACTAGGATGAATATAAAGTGACTGAGTATTGTTCAACCCTTATGTAGAAGAAGTATGTCAACAGCCTAAGCTCTCAACTTTCAACCAGTAAATCCCAGATCCAAAAACCATCCTCTCTACTTCATCTTGCATAACTGATAAGTATCATAAATTCCTACATATGAAGTACAGTTTATCGAGTGGTACACAAAACTGTAGGCAACTACTAGTTTAGAAGCACATTTCACACACTAATTAACTACATGATACATTTCTAAATAGATAAATAGGATTTGATTTTTAAAAATCTTTTGTTATCCTTGACGTCCACTTCAAACACAAGTAAATACAGCGTCATTCCTTGTTTGAAAGAGATGAAGACGATTTACACACAGAGAATTTCTACATCTAATCAAAAATAATACTGCTAGATGAATTCGAGAAACGAAAGTATGCTAAAATAGTATTACTTCAGAAGTACAGTTCTCAAGAAAAAAAACTGTAGGAAGTAATTCATAATGTGTTCACCGTTATGCTTCAATGTACGCAAGAAATCAAAAATAATGGTAACTTCTATTACAGTGTTTGTAGGTAGTGAGAAAACCTGTGTCGAAGACTGCCTACCGATTACCCCCAACCACTTGAACTCAATAAACAGATAAGGCATACAGATAAACATTGAGAAATCACATACTACGTAAAAAACAAACTTTCAAGCAGATTATCCCTGTCGGCCTACTGAAATCACACGACCGAGTGATATCAATGAACCTCTGAAAAATTGCTTATTTGTAATGTTTATCTAATCACCGCATACCACAAAATGCAGTAGTTTTCGAAGTCAGTGTACATAATTTAAAAAGTACTAAAACCTTCTATTGATCAATGACTGATTACTTTCATGAACTCAGCAATAGCCAATAGTCTTCCACCATTTTGTAAAAATATCTCGAGTTCAGCGGTTGAAGATCATTTATAAACATTTAATAAAACAGAGGAAAAACACGCGCAAAAAACAACAAAGGAAAGAATAATAATAATAATATCAACTATACGAATACATGGACGTGAATAACTGTAACCTTTTAAGCTTTACACTATGATATTAATCATAACTACAGAAATTATTTAACAAAACTGGACCATTTTCTCACCTTTTTAACCTTTTTCGACTTTGCTTTATAGCTGGCAAAATCAGCCGAAAAAGTATCTAAATCATCTACTAAAGGTTGGAGAGCTTTTGTATCTCCATCAAGTTCACCTTTTCGTTTAGCTTCCCAACGAGCTAAGGCAGCTTCTTCTTGTTGTCTTTGTTCTTCTGCCTCACGAGCTTTACGTTCCATCTCCTCTTTTTCTTTTGATTGTTTATTCTTCTCAGCTTGTTTGGATAGGGCGATTTGACGACGTAACTCTTCAGCTTCTTGACGTAACATCTCACTGTAAAAAAAAAAGAAAACAATAGTGTATGCATTTCAATGAGAAGCAATAACTAATTTGAACTCTGAATTTCAACAGATATTTTAATATTTAAATATATTTTTCATCATTTATCGCTTATTAGATCACAAACAATATCTAGTGGTCCTTTACTTTACTTCGGCTATCTCCTACGGAAGGATGAGCCGGCTTCATGAACATCTAGAATCATCGCTGCCCAGGAGCGGCGATCCGATGAAGAGAGTTCATGAAGTTTCATGGGAATTTAGTACGAGTGATGTCCCCAGAATCGCTCGGCCTTTGTTCGAGAGTGCAGCTCTAGCCTTTACACAACCAAGTGTGATCTACAAGGCAGTAGGAGTGGAGTATGGAGTCCACTATCCATTGGCAGCCGGTGACCGGAGTTCGGTTCATACGCCTTCTTGAATGGGGCCAGACATCCAGGACACCCAACAAGCCCTTTGTCCATACGTCTGCCGGTGAGCTCCAGTGAGCTTCATACGCCAGTCGTTGGAGGTTTGGAATCAGGGTGTAGCCATCTCCCCTAGACTGTCATCCAATGGACAGTCAACCCGGTGAAGAGTGCCGGGCATCCGCTTTCGCCCTCTCACTTTGGTGAAAAACACCTCCACCACGTGAAGGCAGTGAGTAGAACTTCCTCAGGAGAGGCTATGTAAGACGCCCGGTCATATGGGAGCATTTCAAGAGGTGTGCGGAGGGGTGGCCAACTCGCAGCGCAAGGCACCCACCCCCGACCATCCTGAGGCTTTGGAGGCTAGTGGTCCAGCTCCATAGTGGTGAACGGAGTTTCATCGATTCAGTCAAACAATTCCATCTGACGGTCACTGTACTTGTCCCTGGGCATTTAGCAGGATACAGCAGTTTTAAACTTCATATCTGTCTACACTCATTAAGCAACCGTTGGTTCTGTCAAGCTTACATTGATAACCATCTTCCAAAGTAGCACTGACATTCATAAAGGTTATCTTTACTTTCTACCAATCTGTAATCTCGACTATCACGTTTATAGGCCAAGTACGAAATCATGAAACATAAAAGAAAGAAATTATTTATATTAGATGGTTGGAGGCAATCGGGAGGAAGCCTCGGACCTAGGTTTTGTGCTAGTTGACACTCGTCAGTAAGGTGTATCTGCAACCTTCTGAGATTCGAGCCCACGTCACCCAGTGCTGCAGTCAGAGACGTTACCACTGAGCTATTCGTGCTCACGACTAACCTTCTGTCGGACTGTATTGGATATTTTGACTGGACACTTGTCAGTGCCCTGCCGATTGCCTCCAACCATCTAGTACCAACAATTCACAGAGCACTTTGATAGTGAGCCACCTAGTATGGTGGCCACATTGCAAACGTGACTGATAGAATTCAGTCTGAACCAAAGATAGGACCAGACATATGACATTAGTTACTGACTAACATCCAATCAAAATAAAATTATTAATCTAGCCTACTAAAGCGCTAGTGATACTACACAAGCTGTTCATCTAAAAATTCGTTTTTAAAGACTATATATATATATATATATATATATATATATATATATATGACTCACATTCGCTTGTTTTTAGCTTCATCATCCTGACGACGAGCTTCTTCACGCTTTCGTTTTCTTTCTTCAACTTCTTTTTCTAATTCTAATTTCGCACGGCTCACTGCTTCGGCATCTTCATCGCTCACTGTTACAGGCACTGAGCTAAGACGAGGATCAGACAGAAGATCATGAGCACTTTTACCTTTTTGTCGAAATTTCTGAAATCAGAACAACAAACATAGTCCAATTAGATTTCACGAACCGTTGACGTCTTATCAGCTTAAAGACTGTTTTTTCAATGTAGACTTTGTTACGAAGCTAAATCAGTCAGATGATCATTGAAAATCAGGGAGCCCTAAACAGCTGTTTTGTTCCAGTTTGCGCCACATTTTAGCAGTACACACACAGACTTTTTGGTTGAAGCATTTCAAGCTTAAATTCATATCTATAAACTTTAGTCTTGCTAACTGAATAGTTTCCTGAGCTATCTATCATGTACAAAGTGTAGCGAAAAGCCTAATACATGGGAAAATATCTGTATCAGATTACTTTGTTATATTACTATTAGCACTATTATTATTATTAAATGTCTTGAACACAATAAATTTGAATGCAAACGTAGTCTTTTGAGTCAAGTTCTGATTTGAAGACGACCACTGATTCAATATTATACAATTACTTACCTCCACAACTGTGTTTACAACTTCTTCCTCTTCTTCTGCTTCCTCTCCAAAAGAGAGAAGGGAAAAATTCCTAGAAAATAATCAACGTGAATAAATGTTTTAGTGCATGCTTTAACAGAAAACACATGGATTAGCAAAATACGCATACCTTTGACTAATTCAACAGGTTAGAAGATATCAAAAACGGTTGTACAGCTAAAATACCAAACCAAACGACAAGATTATAACCTTTATGATATATTTGGACATGAGGCGGAATGGTATCTCATAGCAGACAGTGTAGTGAGACCTTCAGCAACTAAAAAACGCTATTAAATTCGTGAAAACTTCTCATCATAGACAGTGCTGCAGATTCTTTCCAACAACCTGAACTGTAAACATTAAATAAACATTAAAAAATTCATAAGACCAATAAGATACTGGTAAAATCTGTCCTCGTGAAACGTATGACGTAATGTCAGGTGTAGCCTAGGCTAGGTGACTAATTGGAAATTAGAGAAGGGACAGAAGTTGGCAATGACGTAATAAGTGTGGGAAAATAAACAACATAGTTATGTAGAATGGACAAGAACTAGTGGGAAGACGATCAAGTGCTTTTATAAAATCTATGTGAAAACGCAGTGTTATTGATAAGCAGTAGTAGAGCGATAATAAAATAAGGATGAGAATAATAATAAAATTACATATTAAAAGGAAGCAAAATCGTAGTGAGAACGTTACTCTGGCCACGGTAGGGCGAGTGAATGTATGTACTGCTTTCGAATGCAGAGGTCCGGTTTCAGATCCCGAATAGCCAATGATTCAGCTATGTACAGATGGCGTATTCGAAGTCCTTTCGTACGATATTGAGGGACTCTGTGTAGCACTGTGAAGCATTCATGCGAGGGTGCTCAATGTCCAGAGTTGACAAGGCGTTCGAAGATGGAGCTGCTAGTATTCTTCTTTTCTCCTATGGCTAGCCAAGCTGGACAGTGCTCCAGAATACGTTCATGAACTTGACGCTGCGTACGGCCAATATACTTTGCTCCACATGAACAAGTAAATTGATAAATAAGCATTGAGGTGGCCAAAAGCGGCATCTTGTCTTTAACGTTAGACTGGATAAATTGTCTGCTGGAGAATGTGATACATGAGATGGCTGCTTGAAATGTCTTTTTTAAACATTTAGGAAGGCGGTTTCTGAGAATTTCCGTCGATGTCACCATTGAATCCCAGGTTCATGAAGTTGTGATTTTTGGCGACGGAGGCTTTTCCTTCATGTTTTTGTCGACAAATCTTGTTGGATACCCGTTCTCTAGTAGGGTTTCACGTAATGAATTGACTAGTCATTTTCTCACACTTATTACGTCATGCCAACTTCTGCCCCTTCTCTAATTTCCAATTAGTCACCTAGCCTAGACTACACCTAACATTACGTAATACGTTTCTCGAGGACAGATTTTGCCAGTATCTGATTGGTCTTATAAATTCTTTATTAAGTATAATTACGATTGTACAGCTAATGAAAATGAATCGTAGATAAAGAAAATTTTCTTCGCTGTTTACGTCTTTTTCTTATGACTCTCAATACGGGAATATTTCGTTCATTAAACATTTGAAATGAACATTATTTGCTATACAGTAAGTGTCTTGTTTAGGCTTTTTAAGGAAGGACGTAGTGTTAGTTAGTATAAAACAAATGTCCGCTTGACTTACTTGGTGGCTTTCGCTGTAACTTTCACTTCATCTTCAGAACTTGATTTAACTGACGGTTTTTTAAGTTGTCTTGGTTCGATATCATCATATGGATTGAGAATAATCTATCAGAAGATCAAATTACATAGTTCAGTATACGGCAACCTTTTCAAAAATAAATTATGAAACAAACATGTGCTTATTCAAGTGTTGGTTTGTAGGGATTTGATTGGTTACAGGATTTCATCATGAGCTGACATTGGTTAGAGAACCATTGGAAAACCTGGAAGTACTGGACAGCCAGTGGTTTCGTCATAGTTTGTGACTCTTCATCAGTACGAACCCACCGGGGTTCGAACCCAGGACCTTCTGGTTACAAGGTGATCTCGTGGACCATTAAGCCATTGGGACCCGATGCCATGGTTCATAAATTCCAACTTCTGTCAATTCACGATGTAGCGTGACTACTAGCCAATGTCTTCGGCGAGTATTTGTCCCCACACCCGACCGCTGCACCCTGCTGCCGAAGAAATTGGCTAGTGGTCGCGCTATATCGTGAATTGACAGAAGTTGGAATTTATGAACCATGGCATCGGGTCCCAATGGCTTAATGGTCCACGAGATCACCTTGTAACCAGAAGGTCCTGGGTTCTAACCCCGGTGGGTTCGTACTGATGAAGAGTCACAAACTAGGACGAAACCGCTGGCTGTCCAGTACTCCCAGGTTTTCCAATGGCTCTCTAACCGATGTCAGCTGGTGATGAAATCCTGTAAACATGTGCTTATTGTGAAGCAGCGAATTTAATTTAGTTTATAAGGATTAAGACAATGATAACTAATACTGGTGTATACAAACCTAGCCTAAAGGTGGGGTTGGGGCGCGGTGGGGTGGAGAACACATCCCATGCAATCTTATGAAGTAGCTTTGAATTCAGAATATGATAATCGTTAGTCACTTATTTAAAAAGCAAAGTTACAGCATCACTAATGACTGATAGTTCACATCCTTATAGTACAGCATTCTTTTGATGCGTCAAAATTTGGCTTAACAGTCTCACAAAATTGGACTCCTTGTAAGAAGCAGGTAAAAGTCATATTTATAATCATCTGGTCGTTTCAAAATAATTCATAGGTTAAAAATGATGGGACAAACAGACTGAATAAGGAATGTGACATCTCATCTATAAACACCGTCAATATATTTTAATTCGAATCACTCCCCTGAAGAAATTCTAACCAGACTACTGGAAAAACATTGGAATCACTGAATTTTAAACTAAGTGCCATTTCTGCAAGTATAACTATGGAATATTTCAGTTAGTTTACCCTTAAAATTATCTTATCAAGTATTGAACACAACTAGAGAAGTACTTCCAACTTTCCGGAACAAATAAATGCTTAGATTTGTTTTAAAAATTGACTGTATAGGCAGTGAAACAGAATTTGGTAAGAAGTACATTTTATATTCGTAGTACTAAGATTAGAAAAGTAATCAGGGGACACAAGATTCTTCAAAGCTAATGTATTCACGGATGGAGGAACTTGCTGTTATACAACTGGGAACAATTTACTATACCAAAACTAAATTGCTAACCAATTTTATAGAGCGCCTAGATTATTTCAATTTCCCGGAAGAAGGCGAAATGCAAAATAACTATTTAGGCTATTGTATTTTGGTCAATTACTGTCAGACTGGATATAGAAAGGCCATCTTCTCTCTTAATTTTTATCACTGACTACAATGGAACATGATTTACTATCAATGGAAAGTTTGTACCTTATAAAATGGACCAAATTACTTTGATATTTTGAGTAAAATTATTCTGTGTAATCACACCAGTATACAGCACAACAAACGTGATACAACTTACACAAGCACCAACAATGCGATGAAGTCTTACAGGTCTTTCATTTCGACCTATCTCTCCTTCACCAAGACGCAACATATTGAATAGTGTTTCACCGGCGACACGTCCAAAAAGTGTGTGCTTTCCAGTAAGTTCAGGAGCCGGGCCTAGAGTGAAGAAAAATTGGCTACCGTTCATATTTTCCTCAAGGCATGCCATTCCCAATAGACCACGACGGTTGAACGATAACCTCGAGTGAATTTCCGTCTGTTGAATCGAAATATAAAAAGGAGTGACTATGAAAAATAGTTGGTGGTTAATTACAGTAGAATTAATTGGGCATTCCTTCAGTAATTTTTTTTTTGAATTTTAAAATTTCATTCAGATTCTATATAAATATACGTCGAGTATCGAATTCGGAACTGAAAAGACTCATAGATAAGGTTGATGGGTGCAGTTTTTAGCAACCAATCTTTATCCCGAAGAGCACTGGAGGGCCATAAGTACCAAAACATACAATGCCATACTATTCTTCAATACACGAAAACTAAGCAGTCAAGTTTGTGAATCATCCACCCACCCAAACCACCTTGTTTAGTCTCTTCATCGAATTTCTTGATAATAAAGTTGTAAAGTAAATTCAATAGAAAGATGACTGACAGTAGTATACTACTTTAAGTCGCCACAATTTCAACAAAAACAGAGTAAAGAACAGGAATGGAATGACACTACAATGGACAAATAAATACGGAAGAACGAATAATTTAATGGAGGATGATGAAAGAGTACAAAATTTTCAAAATGATTTTTGATTTTGCGTCATGCCATCAAGAGTTTAGTTCTTAACACCGGGAACCCCCAGTCAGGTATCCGATATCTTCCTGCACAACTCAGACGAACAGTTAGTGACTTAATGGATTGGCACCAATATTAGATCTAACCATCCTTAACTTTTCTTCAACATAATCCTACTTCAGTTAACAATGTTCTTCGAGAAAGAGGGTTGCTTGACATGCGTAACAAGAGCACCAGTCACCTTAATCCATGGAAAAATAAAACCTCCTATATAGACCCACCTATCACTCTACGTCTAATGCAAGCAAGCATTACCTTTTGTGTTGTTTTACTCAACTAAGTCCAAGTGCTTTCGATCAAAAACCTGTAGTCTTTTCACATCTTCTAGTCACATCGCCCAAGTCTTACGGCAGTAAAGTCGGACAAAGCACACTTATTTATCTATTTAAAACACAAAACCTTGTACAGTATAGAAACCAAGACGCGCCGCAAAATAATAATAAAACAGCAACATATGAAAAAATAGGTAGTAAATGAACAAGAACATTGTCCGGACCAAACAACATTTGTCAATTATTGTTAGAAAGGGAATAAAGGAGGAAATCGCAACAAGTTCGCAACTGATGGCGATTTTTGGCCATATCCGATAACATTTCGAACCACCGATTCGAGTTACCTCTCAGATTAATATATGTGTAAAACTTGGGTACTGTGGTAGTAAGTAATTCCATATTAGTTTGTTTATTAGATATATCACACAGTGAAACAGTATTATTTACTGGATGACGTTTCGAACAAAATTTATTTTTCATAATCATATCAATTGTAATCACACGACTTTGAAACTTGAGTTTTATAGTTTTTCTTTGTTTTCTCCTATTTGTCGTAGGGGTAGTAGGAGAAAACAAAGAAAAACTATAAAACTCAAGTTTCAAAGTCGTGTGATTACAATTGATATGATTATGAAAAATAAATTTTGTTCGAAACGTCATCCAGTAAATAATACTGTTCCACTGTGTGATATATCTAATAAACAAACTAATATGGAATTACCTCTCAGACCCCAACCAGGGAGTCGTGATGCATCAACCGATGTTAACCTACCACAAATATTCTTCATCTCAAGATGTCACGTCATAGGCTGACCATCTCTCCACTTTCCCCATCCCGCCTCAGGGCTAGCGAACAGAGAGCGGTACGGGAGCCTCTGGAATGACATTCGTAGCACATGTCCAAACCATCGAAACCGGTGTTCCCAGATGACGACACTCAATGGATGGTGATCTTCACTGTGTTCAAACACACACCGCCGAACCTCAGAATTACTCATGCGATGGTGCCATCGAACGCAAGCAATCCTGCAGAGACAGCGATGATCGAACACGCAGAGCCGCCGCACATCCTCAGCTCGGAGAGGCCATGTTTCGCAGGTATAGAGCAAGATTGCGCGCACCGAAGCATTGTAAATCCGGCCTCTAACAGCCAGGCTAACATCGCGACGGCGCCACAGGTGACTCAAATTAACATATGTCACCCTAGCTTTCATGATACGGTTGGAAATCGAATGTCACACCTCTGCCAGCACTCACACAACTGACCAGATACACGAACTTATCGGCAACTTCAAGCAGTTTACCAGCAAGAGTGAGTGAAGATACAGACTCCTACCAATCTTGTAACAGTACTTTGCACTTGGACAGTGCAAAGCACATACCATACGTGCAAATACTGATCACCAACCAATTACGTGCGATTTGGGCAACCTGTATGCTACTGCACTGTAAGACGATATCAACTGCATACTCAAGGAAGAATAGTCTTTACCCAGGAACTGCGCACGTTTTTCAGAATTGACTCCGGAATGCCACCGATGGCAAAGTTAAAGAGAAGTGGAGATATTGGGCAACCCTGTCTAGCCCCACTGTTGGTTGGGAACAGTGATGATATACATAAATATATACATATATAACATTTTGAGAGAGAGCAAATTCCCTTTAAATTTTTCCCTGTATGACTGTACAAACAGAACTGAAAACAACCACACTAACTTTGAAAGGCTGTCCATAAATACTTTCTCCGCCTTCCCCAGTACCTGTTGGATCTCCACCCTGAACAATGAAACCACGTACTAACCGATGAAACGCTGTATCGTTGTAGTAACCCTCCATACATAACTGGACAAAGTTTCTGCAAGCTTTTGGGGCTTCTTTGGACCACAATTCTATCTCTATTTCCCCAACTGTAGTCTTCAGAATAACCTTTCCATTTGTTGCAGGCTCAGTAACGTATATGCTACTCATAATTCAAAATCAGTAGTCAGATTGTAAGTAGACGTGATAATCTCTGTGTAGGAATCTTTCGGCTTTTGTTTCCTCGCAGTACTCTTGTCGATATTATAACTAAGCTCAGTTTAAAACAGGTTCCAAGACGATGCTGTGAAGGATAAACATAAAATTTGCCGACAACGATAAGCGAATTCTACTGGATAATCTGGAAAATAAGAAAATAAAAGAATATCTCAATACATGCAAAAATTGTTTATGAAAAGTAAGGCAGTCGAGACTAATGAAGAATGTCTAATAACAAATATGACATGATTCATGAACAAGAACTTCCGAATAACTGAGTTTTCAACTTGTAACTCTGTACAGAGGAGTAGTAATTTAAAGTACCACACTCCATACAGCATACAAAGGTAGCGAAAAACAAGAATCCTAAGGAACTATAATGAATGGAAATGTACGGGAGAAAAAATAATTACATGGACTATGGGGATTTAATGGATATGGCAGATTGCACATATATTTATTACAATTAGAGTGACTCGCAAAATAAGAAATTCAGTACAGAGGTGAAAATTTCCACGGAAATGTGGATCCATGTTACCCCAAAAAAACAGATCACCACAGAAATACAAATGGAAAACAATAAGTTCAATTTGTCATATAACCAAAACACAGTGCTTACCAACAGGATGGCACAACAATGGAAAAACTACAATAAAACAGCATCTTTAAACCTAATTTAAAGATTGCAACACAGGCTGCATTTCTAGGCCGTAAGAAATGTTTTAAATGGACTGCACCTCGTTGGATGAGAAGTTCTAAGTGGGAACTTCCAGAATGCATTAACCAATATGTGAGGAGCTACACAAAGCTAACTGAGTCCAGTGTAGGTACAGAAATAGTCTTATTAGGAAGGAAATCCAATGCTAATCAGCTTTGAAATGGTAATCGAAATTCTTGAAGAACTAACCATATAATCTGACAAATACAATCACAAGTCAAAAAGCGATAAAGCAAGTGAAACTATACAGGTTCAAGATGGAACATTGAAAATCAACACATAAAAAATCAAAAACCTAAAACATCTCAACAGATAAAAAAATTAGAGAAGAGAAAACAAATATATGAAATGTTCAAGATTTTCAGGACATTGATGGTAAAGTGTATACACCAGCTTTTTTGTAACCTACCACCGGCTGTATCACTAAGCATGATTTTGATCCCCTGAAAGGCGCTGTACAGACAGGTTAAACTTGAAAAGTATTAGCTTGAAGGTTCAAAAGCGCATACTAGGCTATTTCTGGAGTGTTACGAAGGTTCCTTTATGACGTCTCTTATGTGTTAAACTCACCCGGATTAAAAACGTGACGTCAATATGACAATTTCCACTATAATGACGCCCACTCAGTCGGAGAATATTTCTCATGAACATGGGTAGAGCGAGAAAAACATGGGCGATTTTCTGTTCAAATTTGGGTGAAATGGAGAGAAGTAGACCATTCTGGGGAATAAAACGGCCAAATCTTCTGAATCACACATTGAAAGTGGGTAATTCGTTTGTTGTAAACGTGGGTAAAATGGGTAGAAGAGGTAAACAACATGCGTAAAGCGGGAGAGCGCTTAATGAATATTGTGGTGGAGGATCATGGGGGGGGGGGGAACTAGCTGTTTTATTTTGCACTTTACTCACTTCGTGCACATCTTAACCGATAAAAATTTCCCATATTTTTCACGTACCTCCCACCACAAACACACTTCACTAACGGGCATTCTAAGACCGAGATAAAATCTTTAAGATTATCACTTTTGCGTAGCAGTGTATTTGAATAGCAGACATGGGCTGAGGCCTCAATCCGAAATTGCTAAGAAATCACCTGGCAGCCTCTATGTTCTTGACATCTGAAAGAGATTGGAGATTCAAGATAAACTAGAAAACGACCATATGGACAAAATTACTCCACAAAACAAAGTGTCGAGAAGACAGAAAAATGACTTCATGGAAAATTCCATTAAATAGGCACAACGACAAGTACATTTCGCTGACGAATTTGCCAAAACAGATTACCAAGAATCTTCTAAATGGCCTTGGAGCAGCCAAGAGCATTACACCCCTAATATCTATTAAATAAATGAATATTGTCTATGTTGTCAGCTGAGTATCAAAGTAGCAATTAATATGTGCGATAAAAACACTTGGACAATCTAGAAATTAAGAACTAGTGACAGTCATGCTGACAAAGCAGCATACAGTTCCAGTTTGTGCAAATAATCAAACAATTTCAGAACAGTTTCGGAGTTTACTCAATACATAATGTTAGAGTTAGCCCACAATTAGCAAGATTTAATTAAGCATTACAATAAGCTTAAGAAACTGCAATTAAATTTCATTTTATGCTATGAACACCTTACAATCTTAGCGTAGTATACATGACTTAGCCCAATGATTGCAGGTCTACCATAATCGTTAACTATCAACTTATTAACTGTGAACTCGTGACTAAAAATAAGCTTCATAGTAACATTCAGTGACAAAAATACACCTCAACACTTTAGAATATGCGAAACGTCAAATAAAAACCTTTAAATTTCAATGGTAAACGAATTCACCAGTTAACCCAAGAGCCAATCATGACCTTGAATCTGGACATACCGCCTTCCTGCAAAATACCAACTTAGTTGCGTTACAACCGAAAACGCCGGTTTTTCTTTCTAACCTTGAGTGTATCCAACATCCAATATTGTAAACCGATTTGATTTCTTGTTCCTAGGTGAAGGTTTCTGGTTTTCGGGGAAATCCTCCGTAGTTCACCATTCCACTCGACTGTCACATCTTTGGTTGACTTCAAAAGGAGTGGTACTGAGACTGATTATATGAGGTGTGTTAAGATCGTGTTGCTACTGTGAATAGAGTTGATCCTTTCTCCCTTTGGTAGTCCGTGTGGTCGAAAAGAGATATAGCCATAATGATAATAACAGATATATTAAGTGCAGATTATGTGCTAGGTTGTTCGATTAATCTTAGTGCAGAATTTCCCTTCATCTAGGTAGTCCACTGACCATGACAGAAGCGGCTCACCAATACCTGCCTGACTTATTTTGTGTAGGAGATCATGGCGAACTGCTACAAATGCATTCTCAAAGTGTAAGAAGACCACATGGACTGGTAAAATCATATCCTGGCATGATGTCCAATCGTTCCATGCTGATAGTAGGTTTGTTACTAGGATCTACCTCTGCTGAAACCATGTTGTCCTTCATGGAGTCTAGTAGTTCTGTCAACGTGTTCCCTGAAATGATCATCAATTAGACTTTCCAGTACTTTTGATTCCATTGTAAGTAGAGCAACTGGTCTATAACTGGTGGCATTTTGCCTATCCCCACCCTGTAAAATAGGAGAAAGGATGGATCTCTCCCACTCCCTTGACAGTTTTTCTGAATCCACTGAGTGCTGGAACAGGTGCAAGGGCCTACAGAGAGCTTCAGGGCACTGTTTTATAACAGATGGCCAAATGTAGTCACGACCTGGGGACTTTTCAGATGTGAGTCTCCGAAACTTCCCTAGTAATGCTGCCATTTTATTTGGAGCGTTGTCACTACGCTTTCCATCGGTAACATAGCAGTGCAGCCTTCTCTGTCAATATCGGTAATACCTACACTGCTGTTTAACTGTTTGGTAAAGGCTGAACTAACCATTTCCAAACTATTGGGATACTGGCAATTTGGACCTACTAAGGCACTTGTATGTTTTCTCTTCGACATTAACCGGTGGAGGCTTTTTGGGTTCACCACAAGTTTTCTTGAAAGATTTTCCTGATATTACCTTCCGCTCCTGACTCTTGCGTTTCACCCGTTCCTGAGTTCTATGTATGCATAGTCGTCAGTCTGAATTTTGATTATTCGCCATGTAGATCATGGCCTTCCTCTCTGCTTGCAGAATACGTTACATACCTCTCTTAAGCCATGAGGACCTTTTCTTCGGCTGTGCTGTGACTCGAGGCATGGTATCTAAGATCGCTATGTGAATAATCTCTCTTATCACTTTCCGGTGTTAATTCACAGATAATTCAGCTCATTCCATGGGCCATTCTGATTCGGACAGAAAACTTCGCATTTCGGCATTGTCATCTTCGCTGTAGCACAGACATGGTCGCGTAGCGTCTCACTGTAAGCGGTCACGAAGAATGAGATCAAATACTACGGCTGCGTGGCCACTACTCTTTATTGTGATCATGATTTGCACATTTTCTGCAGGTAGCTGGTCACTAATTAGAATGTAATCTAGTTTCGATAATTTTCCACCAAGGCCCCACCTAGTATCATCTCCAACCTTCGCAGTCAGTTCTGTATTTCTAATGGTTTGTAGCAGATCTCGACTGAATTTTCCCTGAGTATACCCCGAGCAAAGGTTCAGAGTTGAAGTATTGAGATCTCTAGCCATATTCATTTGGTCATAGCCCAAGTCCCATACCCCTGTGATTGTGGTCAGCAGTAGCTGTTTGTGCTCTACTCCACTGGTGGGTGATCAGTAGATACCATCCAGTAAATTCTTGGTATATCCCACGGTGACATGGCACCACATAAAGCCTGCAAGTTCAGTAAGTGATGGGTCCGTTGCATGTACGCACCTAAGTTACTCGTCAAAGTACATGTCAACCCCTCTCCTTTTTTATCCCTGTCTCGCCTGACTAGGACTATATCACTTTTACTGATTTCATTTTTTCTAATAGTAAGGGTTAGCAAGGTTTCAGTTAGGATTATTGTTCTCAGGTGCAGGTGTGACTGAAAGTTTCTGAGTTCACTTATTTTTCCTCTCAGCCCTCTCACCACCTTAACGTGTTGAGGGGTAGTCAAGCTATAGAAACTGCTGGTAGAGGATTTAATATTGGAACTAATTGACCGATTCCGATGGAACAGACCTGTTGTCGGTTTTTTCTTTGAATTCAGATAGGACGCTTGGTGGCACTGGCTGCCATTCTTAGTGCTGTACGGCGTTCATATCACTGAGACATGGGGACGTATTGTGACCTCAGCCTGTTGCCTCCTTTGGGTTCCAGGTAGACCTCCGCAGCACTGAATACGTCATCAATATGATAAATTACATATACGTTAAGTAAGCATATTTGATAATAATTTAATGAAATACATATTTATTCCTACCTGTGTAGGACACATCATTTGTACAGGCATGGATAAGTATTATTTAAATTACATAAATTTGGTTTATTGTGAAATTATATGGTTGCTGTCGTTTTTGTCTTTGCTTTGTGGGAACAATGTGATAACTAGTCATTCAATGGGGCACGTCAAGAAATATAGAAATATTGTCTTCAAAATTAACAAAAAGAACCCAATTATGTTTTGGATGGATTACAAATACTTGGGAAAAAATAAAGCTTGAAGTCATTTCCCCAAATAACTTTGGTGTGTATGGCATCCAGTCTTATTCTTGATTTATATCCAAATTTCGTAATAATTTAAAATAAGTGATACACTTGTATAGTTTTTTCAGCATTTTTATCGTAATATCACAAGTGAATTGTACTCAACGTTGACTAATAATAATGACAGTTTATATTTTCTTATAAACGGGTGTTTACAAGAAATGCAAGCTATTTTTACAGGCACGATCAGTTATTGTCATAAATTACAATCGTGAAGCATTATAAATTAATACTTTTTCATTGGTATAAAAGTACAACTGTACAACTGGTGTGTCCTACATAGATAGGAATAAATATATATTATATTCCACAACTGTAATTCAGGTTGCGTTGTGGGGAAGGTAATGCGTAATTCACGAGGCAACTGAAAGATATGGGACCAATAATGTTTGCAGATCATTTGTCATTGTGAGTGGTCAAATATCTACATTCTTTATTCTTATTCAAAAAGTCATATAGAAGCTAAAATAGTGAGAGAAAAAAGGAAAAAAGATAGCAAGGTCAATCGAGTCCGATCACCTTGGCACAGCTCGTCATCAGGAGTGTCGCAGGGTTCTATCCTGGGACCACTGATGTTCTTGATTTTTATCGATGATTTACCATGCCTTCTAAGCTGCCCGACTCTTCTATACGCTGATGACGCGAAGATATGGAGGGCGATAAAGTGTCCGGAGGACTCAGATAGACTGCAGGAAGATCTAAGGCTTCTGAAAGACTGGGCGGTAACCAGTGGCATGACTTGCAACCTGAAAAAGTGCAAAGTAGTGAAGTTACGCACCTGTAGACTGCAGAATGCAAGTTACACCCTGTGCAATGAAAGCTTGTCCTGCTCAACGTCGGAACGCGACCTAGGTCTAGTTCTAACGGAAAAATGGACACAAGCGTAAATTACACAGGGGACGTAGAGAGGGCATATGCGGTCATACACTTTACACATAGACAATTAGGTGCACTCACTCCTGAGCTCTTTCTAGGGTTGTATAAAACATACGTCAGACCGCATCTTGAAGTGCATAATATCATTGCACCCCCACTGCTTAGATGAGACGCCAACCTCTTGGAAAGGGCCCAACGACGGGCAACAAAAGAAGTGGTTGGTCCCCGAAATAAACCATATGATGAAAGGCTGAAGAAATTAGGCCTATTCACACTCAGTTACCGTCGCCTTAAGGGGGGTTTAATTACTGCCTACAAAATAACAAATGATCAGAATCACCCAAACAAAGGTGTTCTGCCATTGAGTAGGTATAGGCTCCCTCGTGGAAATCCTAGAAGGATAGCTCATCAGAGGGCAAGGACCCGGGTGCGCTCCCACTTCTTTTCCCTGTGGGTTTTCCGTTCCTGGAATTCCTTATCGGAAGATGTAGCTATGGCACCATCTGTGGACGCCTTTAAGCGAAGGCTAGACAACCATGCAGCGACACAAGGACTGCATCCAAATGGCCTATCTACTTAAAATCGCATACACCATTCAAAGGTAGACAATTAAACTGGTCATTTTACTTCTTTACATTCTCTTCCGTCTTACTCTCCTGACAGCTTTAACTACACCTATCATTATTATTATTACTGGTATATATATATATACCGGTTGACTGAC